TCGCCAAGCACGATTTTGATATCATGACGGGGGCAGCGCTCGTACGTGCGCTCCAAGCGCTCATAGAAGAGATCCTTGGATGCCTCATCCTTCTCTTCCGTCGGGGCATGGGCGCAGATGAGCGAGATGTTGAAGAATCTCGCTTTGATGCGGATTGTGGCTAGACGCTCGTCCACCGGGGTGAACGACAGTACTCGGCGACGGAGTCTCTCCCACCACAAATCCAACTCCGAATTTGCGCTCTTTTACATGGCAGATGTAGTAGACGTCGCAAGGCCCCAGACATTGCTTGCCTTGCCCCGTTCAACGCATTTCTTGGATGGCGGTGATGTCAGCTTTTGTCTTTACGAGCACATCAACCAGCCGGGCAGAGGCACCTTCCCCATTAAGGGTCCGGACATTCCAGGTGCATGCCCTCAAATCGTAGTCCTTTAAACGTATGCCGGAGTCGTCATCATAAGGGGGGGTCTCATCCGAGGCTTTGCCGTGCTTCTTCACTGGAAGTGGTTTTTACGTGGCGGGTCCCAAACCCAGCGCACAACCCATTGCTGGGACGGGGGTGGTTTCGCAACCAAATACTCGTTTATATAGCGAGCCGCTTGCTCCAAGCAGACACCCCCTTGCAGCTGCACCTACTGGTGAACAGACGCTGCAGACTTCAGTGAGCCCTTAAACCGAATAAGTCGGAGTGGCCCTACCGAAGCTCCCTCTCTTTCTGCCGTGACCCAAGGCTCCACTCGGATTGGTTACCGCATCTCTCACATGGGTTGCGCACGTTGCCCAGAGTGCGCGAACGAGGACGCAAGAGTCGGGATTGAGTATAGCCATACAACTGTAACTGCATACCCAGCGCAACGACTATACCCCATTACACTCCGCCAAGGACACATAGCAGTAATGTAAATCAAGACGCGCCGTCTTCAACAGCAAAACGCGTCCAAGACCGGCTAATTGCAAATTATTTTACATGAATAAAACGTTGGTAAATAAAAATTCAGAAGGAATACAATAAAATTATTTTGGCATTTTATTAAACATTTTTATGTAAATAAAAACTCTTACATCAATAACTTCAGACAGATCTCAGTATGTAATCACAGATTGGTTTCTATAACATGATATGGCGTGGATTAAAACACCACGTAAAAGCACGTTCAAGTTACAGGCGCATCACAAAATTAAAACATGAATTCACAAAATGAAGTTTCATTACATATTGTATATAAGAAATGTATGTGGTATATCTTACATGCAGTAAGACCGTATACCTCTCTATCAACTAAATTTGTAAACATTGAATTCATTTGAAAATCAACAGAACTTCAAATAACTCGCTTGTGAAACACAAATAAAGATCAACTCAAATTTGTAAAAATTCTTCTTCGAATATCTTGAACAGTTATTCTAAGTGTAAAATGTTAACTTCATGCTATGTCGAATTAAAACTTAACTCTAACATAAATTCAAAAAAAAGGAACTTCATGCTATATCAAATGAAAGCTTAACTCTAACATAAATATAAAAACAAATAAATAATATAAAAAAAACTTTTTAATATACAACGCTTTTATAAATGGACTAAAATGTAGAAAATAATATTTCTCAGTCCCATAGAATTTGTTTTGATAACTTTTGATTTTGAAATTTTAGCAAAAGTCATTATAAACAATCTATGAAATTGAAAATGAAAAACGTGGNTTTATTTTCTACTTTTTAGTCCTGTCTGAATAAAATTTTGCAATAGATATTAAAATAATTCAACGATATTAATAGAAAGGTGCACACACATGCATTTACATATGTATGTACATACAAACGAGCACCAATTAATTTTATTTAAAGAAATGGCGTGTCGTCTATTTCCGCTGTAGCAAACGTAGTACATAGGGCGACATCTAGATGTCATCTACCTCGCCCTATTCACTACAGATGTCGCCCTAAGCACTATGCTTTTTTATAGGAACTTTTCAAAGCAAAGCTTTATGGTGTCGGACACACAACATTGAAAGTTTCTGGATCCACAACATTGAAAGTTTCTGGACACACAACATTGCAAGTTGATAAAAGCGTTGTAAAAAGAACTTCAACTTGCATTTAAAACGCTTAAAACTAACATAAATAGTAAAACAAAAAATTACTTCAAAAACTACATATTTACACAATATTTACATGCGGTAGATAGCGTTTGTTAAATTATTAAAGGCATCCGCACATGCCTTTAAACCTTCCCCCATTGTGTTCATAGCTTCGGCCAATGATTTCGCTACGTGCACCTTCGCCGTACTTGTTTCAGCTAACAACTGTTGAAAGAGCATACGAATGTAATACTATTTTTTTAGTATGTACAAAAAATTACCTTCGAAGCATCTGCTTGTCTACCTGTTATTTGTACATTCGCTGTACTCGACTCTGCTAGCATCTGTTAAAAAAGAACCGAAAAAATTATGTCATAAAATTTTACTTATGTAGTTACAAATATGTAAATTACTTTTAAGGCATTTGCTTCGGTCTGAGCAATTTCCAAAAATGTTTTTTGGGCCTCGGTACCACCGTCCACACGCCTTCTTTTTGCACCTCTACGAGGCGTTTTTCCTTCAGGAGTTACAGGAGTCGATGTGCACATCTCAATGCTCACTTCGTGGGAAATAGATGTCATCTCGATGATGACACTTTCATCACCCTCTTCCATACGAAGTTGGAGTTCCTAATGATGGGAAGAATTGTTAACTGCTATGCTATTCATAACGATTTATTTGCTTTTTACCTCTTCCACTGGCACACTTTCAGCAACAGTTTCATGGCCCTGCACATAGTCGCTACCGACAAGGGCAATCACACGCCTCTTAAGCTCAGTGGGTGGCTCTTCATTAATGGGATTGTTTCCCGTCATTGCCTGCTTTCGTTTTCTATCACGCACCTTAATACTAGTACGGATCTTCAAATCCCTCCATACCTTTTTGCAAAACAAAATTTTAAACATGGTATTAAATTACTAAACAACTTTTACATACTGTGCGCCATTGGTCGACGTTCTTCACCGAACCACCAAGGCTATTCAGCATTGACGCTAGCTCACTCCACTTCTTGTCGCATTCCGACTTGCCATGAAGCTTCTGGAACCTTGATCCTGCCAATCCCGGCGTTTCCGCCAAAAAGTCCACCATGCGACTTAGTTGTTCTGCTGTGGTCCGGCTTCTCTTTTGAACACTGGGTACTGACGAAGCCATTCTATAATATGCGAAAATGGTTATGTCTAGTAATACAAAATAAATAAACGTTTTATTTTACTTACTTTTTGTAAAAGTGTTGTCGCAGAACGCCCATTTACCCTATGGTGTCGCACACTGCGCACTTACCCTACGGTTTATTGTGACCGATTATTTTTTGTAATTTCTATTTATCCTATTCTCGCTTATGTACAAATGAATTGAAGTTTCTGTATACATACATATATATGTACAATTTAAGTTCTTATGTTCAAATTTACCGCTATGTGGCTTACTCCGTTTGCAATTCACTTGCCAAATTCATTCGTTGGCCAGCAACCGGAGCGAGAACAAAGCAAAATAAACCATACTTTTGATAGAGTTGTATAATTAAATTACTGAGTTTTTCTTATTGTGCATAATAAGTATGCGTTAAATTTGCTAGCTACGGTCAACGTTTACATCTTTATTTTGCTGTTCTATTGGTTTATTGTCGTTCATCGTATTGCTTCTTGAGGATTTTGATTGACACATCGCTATTGTGTACACTTCTCAAAGTTTGGGGCACATCTTTACATTGCCGATTGGAATACATATTTGCTATTACCGCCTCATTTTTCGCCTATCATATTCAATTTGCGATTCAACTGCTTCTGACATCTTTAATTTGCTGTTGAATTAATGGGATTACACCGCGCCGCAATTTGAGTAACATACAATTTCATTTTCTACTAAAATTTGTGCAGTTTTTTGATTAAAGTAGAACTGGCGTTGTTATTGCCAGTTCCCATTGGACATTTTATGTACCGTACGCCACGCCGAAGGAGCCCCCGCCTGAATTCATTCGGAGAGTTGCCAGAAATTACCAGCCACAGCAATATAAATATTGCATTAACTCGAATTGCCGAGGAGCCAGTCAGTGCAGCCGCAAATACTGCTCAAGCCATGGACAGTGCAAACATTCTAACCGCTCAAGCTTCCACATCTGCCTTGGAAGTTGTTGCCGAGCCAGCCAGAGATGCGAATGCCACTGGCGCTCCCAGCAACATCACATCGGGTCTGCCAACCACTCAAGTCATGGATCTTCATGCCATGGAGCAGCGTTTAGCATTGTTGGAAGCCCACCTGCAAGCCACGCAGGTACAGTTACGGGATCGTGACCAACAAAACGACGCCCTCAGAGCTGCGCTGCACAGTAACGGTAGTTCTGCCATTACATATACCAGCAGCGTAGTTGCGCAGTCGCAGTCAGTACTGCCGCAGTCGACGCAAGCGCCGCCGTTCGTAGCAGAACAAAGCAGCATATACTCAAGCACGAGCCAGCCATTTGCCGAAGTTCGTTACTGTTCGGCAACACATCCGGTTATTTGTAGCACAATGCCAGCCACAAATAATTTGTACAGTGTGCCTCATACAAACAACCCATATTCATCGTTTGCTTCACATTCGCCGAATTTTTCAGTGCCATCCACTAGTGCCAGTGGAGGTTATAACCACGGTATGATGTATTCCCCGCATAATCCGTTCATGCCGCGAAAATTGTTAGAACTGCCGGAGTTTAGTGAACGTCCAGAGGACTGGCCCGTGTTTTACACAGCCTTCAACGAGTCTACGGCATCTTATGGTTATAGCAATTTTGACAATAACCAACGGCTGCAAAAGTGTCTAAAGGGTGATGCTCGCGAAACAGTGAAGTCATTGTTGATCCACCCCAACAATGTAAGCTACATTATAGAACAACTTAAGTTCAGGTATGGCCGTCCGGAACAGCTTATTCGTAGCCAGCTGCTACAAGTTAAAGAAATCGCGCCGATTTCCGAGAGTGCTTTAACTAAGCTGGTACCTTTTGCAATTAAGGTAAAGAACATTTGTGCATTTCTGCAGTCAGCCAATGATCATTTAGCAAACCCAACGTTACTCGATGAGCTTATATCAAAGCTACCAATGAGCAAGCGCATCGAATGGGGTCGATACGCCGCCACTGTCCAGCCGCGTGCTACAGCTACGAACTTTAGCGAGTGGCTTTCTTTACTAGCCAACGTAATATGCACCATTCACGACGAAAGCCAGGTTCCTGCCCGAGAATCAAAACGACGAGTACTTCTTCATGTGGAAGAAAGATAACCGACGCAGAAATGTCCAATATGCCAGGGCCAGCACAAAGTACCAGACTGCAAACGCTTCGTCGACAAATCAGTGTCAGGAAGATGGTCGGAAGTAAAGTCACAACGCCTGTGTTTTGCTTGCCTGAACGTTGGCCACATTACACGTAATTGCAGACAAAGGAAAGAGTGTTCCATCGATGGGTGCAAGCGAGTGCCCCACCAGCTACTCCACGAACGGGATCAGCAGCCAGTATCGACATCTGTCAAGAACGCCAGTCGCAGCCATCACCGCCGCAAGTTAAGGGCCCACCTAAGCCGTCCAGCGACTCAGAAGCCGCAGTCCTGAGCTGCGCTACAAATACAGCAGAGAGTAAACTCTTGTTCCGCATATTACCCGTCACTCTCTACGGAAGACAACGCCGTCTAGAGACATATACCCTATTAGACGAAGGTTCATCGATCACAATGCTCGACGATACTCTCGCCAATGAGTTAGATCTACGTGGACGACCAAGCAGGCTGAACGTCCAGTGGTTTGGTGGACATGCTGTCCAAGAACAAGCAACCATAGTATACCTATTCATCTGTGGTGCTGGAATGGATAAACGTCATAAGCTACAGAATGTATACGCCGTGAAGAATCTACAACTACCGTCGCAGAGCCTAAGCAAGGCCGACTTGTTGTATGATGACAAACGTGTACGCCAGTTGCTAGTGCAGGCACACTCTGGCGTGGTACCGAGACTGCTCATCGGGATAGACAACTGCCATTTGGGTTTGGCATCCACAACCATCGCAATGCGGAAGAATGGACCATTCGCTGCCAACACCGAACTGGGTTGGGTTGTGTTCGGTCCAACCAGCAACGATCTTCCTAAGCCATCTACTTGCCTTTTCGTCAACACTAATCTCGACCAGGAACTACATAGCATGGTTGCCAATTTTTTCGAAGTTGAAAGCTTTGGGGTGAGAGCCGCACCGCCAGCCGAGAGCGATGATGATGTCCGAGCAAGAGCCATCCTGAAATCAACGACCCGTCGTGTCGGTATAAGGTTCCAAACCGGCCTTTTATGGGCCCGAGATGATGTACAGCTACCTGACAGCTACCCTATGGCGCTCAAGAGACTGGTAAGTGTGGAAAAACGTATGAGCCGCGACGCAAACTTTGCTTCCAGCTACAATCGGAAGATACAGTCTTACGTGGAGAAGGGTTACGCTCGTAGACTTGCACCGGCTGAAGCCATTGTGACTATGGCACGTACTTGGTATCTACCACACTTTGCCGTGGTCAATCCGAACAAGCCCGCAAAACTGCGCTTAGTGTTCGATGCTGCCGCCGAGGTTAAAGGCGCCTCTTTGAACCGTCATCTGCTCAAAGGCCCACAGGAGTACAGACCACTGCCGTCCATTATTCTCCATTTCCGCCAAGGAGCGGTAGGTGTATGCGGTGACATCAAGGAGATGTTTCACCAAGTACTAATTCGCCCAGAGGATAGATGCGCCCAACGTTTTCTGTGGCGATATGGGGACGTCGAAAAACAGCCTGACATCTACGAAATGTGCGTCATGACGTTTGGTGCTGCCTGTTCACCCTGCGCAGCGCATTATGTCAAAACGCAAAATGCTTTAGCACACAGTAACGACGATCGCACCACTGCCCGTGCCATCAAAGCCGTTGTGAACTACCATTACGTCGACGACTTTGTGGATAGCTTCGACACGCCAGGGGAGGCTATCGACGTCGCTCATAAGGTGAAGGTGATTCATCAGGAAGCTGGATTCGAGATCCGCAACTTTACGTCAAATTGTTCAGAAGTGGTTGCGGCCTTGGATGGAATCGATGTCACTAAAGTTCTGAACGAGAAGGAAGGTGTAACTTCTGAAAGGGTACTCGGTCTATTTTGGCATCCTGCCACAGATTGCTTCAACTTCAATCTGAAATTCAACAACGTCAGCGAAACTGTGCTAAGGGGTATCAGGCGCCCCACCAAGAGAGAGTTACTCAGTGTAGTCATGTCGGTATTCGATCCACTCGGTTTCCTATCTCATTTTGTCATTGGCGCTAAGCTCCTGTTGAGGGAGGTGTGGCGGCATGAGGCTAGTTGGGACGAGCCACTGTGTGACGACATCGCCGAAATGTGGGAGAAGTGGAGCAAAAAATTGCCGAACTTGACCGATTTTGCCGTACCAAGGTTTTATTTCCGCAATGGTAAGCCAGAGAAGTTGCAACTTCGTGTTTTCGCGGATGCCAGCGAGAACGCGTTTGCCGCCGTCGCATACTGGAGGGCCATTAATTGCCGCGAGGAATTTGAAGTCACACTCATTTGCGCGAAGTCCAAGTGCGCACCATTGAAGCCCCTTACTGTGCCGCGATTGGAGTTGCAGGCAGCCGTCTTAGGATCACGCCTGATGCAGACTATACGCGAAGAGCATGACGTCAAGATCGACGAGACGTTCTTATGGAGCGACTCGAAGACTGTCATTAAGTGGCTCCAAAGCAAGCAGCGGAGATACAAACCCTTTGTTCAGTACAGGGTTGCCGAAATCTTAGCCACCACGAACGTATCCAACTAGAGATGGATACCCACCACAGAAAATGTCGCCGACGAGGCTACACGCTTCAACCACAAAATCGAGTTTGGCCCAACTGCTCCTTGGACACTTGGACCGTCATTTTTACATGAGGATGAAACTGCTTGGCCCTCCGAAGATGACACCAATGTTGAGCACGAAGATGTTGATGACGAGCTTAGACCACAATACGCATTGAATATCGTAAGTTGTGATTGCATAAAATTTAATCGATTCTCTTCGTTAAACAGGTTGGTAAGAACCACAGCTTGGGTTATTTTATTCATCAATTTATGCCGCCGCCGAATTGAGGTTCCAAGGCCATACGGACTGACCGTCAGTGACCTCGAAGCCGCAAGATGTCTTCTGTCCGAATCGTGCAAGGTGAAGCCTTCGGTGCAGAAATCCAGCACATCCGCAACGGACAAGAAATTTCCCGCCAAAGTCCATTACTGCAACTCTCGCCATACCTCGATGACGAAGCTGTTTTACGCGTACGAGGGCGCATCGATGCAGCCAGCTGGCTTCCAATGAACGTACGACACCCAATAATATTGCCATCAACTCACGTCTTCTCGAAGCTAGTGACCGCGCACCATCACGTGCTTATGGCCCATCAGAACACAGAAGCTACTATTTGTGCCATTAGACGAATTTACTGGATACCGCGCTTGAGAAGTCTTCTTCGTAATATCATCGCCAACTGTCAAGTGTGCCGCCTACGCAAAACAGTCCCAATACCGCCACTGATGGGTCCTCTTCCAGCAGACCGTGTCACGCCGTACGTAAGGCCATTTACTTATACTGGCCTGGACTACTTCGGTCCGCTGAACGTGACCGTGCGAAGAAGCACGGAAAAAAGATGGGTGGCCCTCTTTACGTGCCTCACCATACGAGCGGTCCACTTAGAGATAGCGCACGACCTCAGCACCGACGCCTGCATAATTGCTATTCGAAACTTCGTAAATCGTCGCGGTTTACCTACGCGACTGAGGTCTGACAACGGAAAAAACTTCATAGGAGTGAACAACGAAGCGAAGAGGTTCGACGAAGTTTTCGACTGTGAGAGAATCCAAGGCGAATTGTCGAAAAGAGGCGTTGACTGGGTCTTCAACTCACCGTTTAACCCAGCCGAAGGAGGAGCATGGGAACGCATGGTCCAGTGCGTTAAGCGAGTCCTGCGCCAAACGCTAAAAGAGATCGCTCCAAAGGAGCATACACTGAACTGTTTTTTAATAGAGGCGGAGAGCGTGGTAAACTCCCGCCCGCTCACACACCTGCCGATCAGCGTGAACCAACAACAGCCATTGACGCCAAACGACTTCTTGTTGGCGTCTGCCAATACCGCGCATACGCCCGGTATAGATGAAGAAATAGCCACCACATGTGCCATACGCCAAGAGTGGCGCATCGCTCGCCAGCTCAGGGACCATTTCTGGAAACGCTGGATAGCGGAGTACCTGCCGACATTGACACGCCGCGTAAAATGGTGCCAAAGAACGAAGCCATTGAAAAAGGGTGATTTGGTATTTCTCTGCGACCCCAACGTACCGCGAAGGGACTGGTGTCGCGGTTTGGTAGAGGAGCTATACCCCGGCCGAGATGGCGAGATCCGACAAGCTGATGTGCGAACCAATACCGGAGTGAAGCGTCGTGCAGTATCCAAACTGGCCGTTCTGGATGTCGATGTTGGTGAATCGGGTTGACGGGGGTGGGGATGTCGCAGAACGCCCATTTACCCTATGGTGTCGTACACTGCGCACTTACCCTACGGTTTATTTTGACCGATTATTTTTTGTAATTTCTATTTATCCTATTCTCGCTTATGTACAAATGAATTGAAGTTTCTGTATACATACATACATATGTACAATTTAAGTTCTTATGTTCAAATTTACCGCTATGTGGCTTACTCCGTTTGCAATTCACTTGCCAAATTCATTCGTTGGCCAGCAACCGGAGCGAGAACAAAGCAAAATAAACCATACTTTTGATAGAGTTGTATAATTAAATTACTGCGTTTTTCTTATTGTGCATAGTAAGTATGCGTTAAATTTGCTAGCTACGGTCAACGTTTACAAGTATATTAAAATATTCAGAAAACTATGTGCATACCACTTTGCTAGCAAGGAATTTATTTGTTTTTCGTCATTCTTCTTTGTGCTTTTCGCATTTTTTGACGTTTCGTTAAGCTGAGATGCCACCTTTCTTTTATTGAAATAAAAAGAAAATGTCAGCTGTTTAGTGTCGTTAAAAAAGAGTTACCGAATAACACAATCGTTACTGCAAACCACAAAAATCGTTATATTAGACCTCGACAAATCGTATTGTTAAAAGTTAGTGAATTGCACTACAGGAACGTACCAAACTGATTGAAAGTTTATTTCGGAATCAAGGCGAATTAATATAAGGTGATAGCAGGAGTACAAAAACAAAAATTTACATGTGTTTTGTTTTTGCTTTGGCGGCATCAACTGTCAAAATCTGTAAGAGTGTGTGTAGAAATTCAAACAAAATTTTCCAATTTGATATCAGAAGCCGTGCGGCGAAACACATACACAAAATCAGCTGAGCTAGTAACACCACCTTATATAAATTCGCCTTGTTCGGAATAAAAAATTAAAAAAAATTATTTTCTATCATGTACATAAATAAATTTCAAAGCATATTCAATGTACATAAATTGTGAGAGTATTTCTTATACACAGTAGTTATAATAAAACTTAACTATTAGATTAACTCGGAGATTATGCATGTGACAAATATTGAAAAAATTAAAAATGTTCTTCACAAATATATGATGTTCCGTTTAATGGTGGCCAAAAAATGGTGGTAATAAAACAAAAATATTACTGGAAAAATGTGAAAAATGATATTAAAAAATATATTAAGAAATGCATTTACTGTAAACAAAATAAAATCAATACACACCTGAAAGAACCAATGACAATAGCGGAGACACCTCCAAAAGCTTTTGATATAGTACATATCGATACAGTTGGACCATTTCCGAAATCTTTAAGCGAAAACGAATATGCAGTCACCATTGTATGTGATTTGACTAAATATTTAATTACAATCCCAATAAAAAGCAATCACGCAAAAACAGATGCTAAAGCGATATTCGAAAACTTCATTCTAATTTATCGATGTATAAAAACAATCATAATAGATATGGGAACCGAATATAAAAATAATTTATTTGAAGAATTATGTAAACTTTTAAAAATTGAGCATAAAGCCTCAACACCTTACCATCATCAAACTTTAGGCACGGTTGAACGCAGTCATAAAACATTCAATGAATATGTGCGTTCCTACATATCCATTAACAAGGACGATTGGGATGAATACCTATCTACTTTTCGTACTGTTACAATAAACCACCCTCCTCAGTCCATGGTTACTGTCCTTTCGAGGTAGTTTTTTGAAAAACACCTCTGACTTACGAATTCTTACAAGAAAACATAGTTAGCCCAGTATATAATTATGAGGCATATGACAAAGAAATAAAATATAGGTTACAAATAGCACAGCGAAGAGCTAAAATATTAGTGCAAGAAGCTAAGGAAAGGCAAAAAGTTAATTATGTTAGAACTATTCTAAGTAAGGAAATAAATATAGGAGATTTAGTACTAGTTAAAGACGAAACAGGTCATAAATTAGATAGTAAATACAAAGGGCCCTATAGAGTAGAAAATATAGATAAGAAAAACAATTATATATTAAGTAATAAAAATAAGAAAATCATAATACATAATAGGCTTAAATTGTTAGAATAAGAACATTTCAGTTTGTTAGCATAAACACAAAACTTATAATTAATTTTCCAATTAATCACTTCACAATCATATCCTACATGAATAAATAAACAGCTTCAACAAGAATGTACATTCATACCAAAATAAAAATTGTAACCTTTAATTATGACATAAAAATACACTGCATGAATAAATAAATAAATAAAAGAAACTCAGTAATTACGTAAAGACTTTCATGTAAGGTAAACGAACTCAAGTAATTTGTAGTTATGTCGTAAACTTCAATTGAAATAGAATGCTCATACATTGACTTCAAAAATTTATAAGCATTCTGTTAAAGAGAGGAGGTGTAGTGAATCAGAAATGCATATCTACATAACAAAGTTCAACACGCTCCAAAAGTGCATTAAACTTATTTTGTCGCTAATGTAAACAAATTATGGTTCACACAAAATATTATTGAATGCTTGATTTCGGTTTACATTGCATTTTCCCATAAGCATAAACATATATATTTCTGTAAGCTAAGCCAATACACATGTATGTGCATAAGTGTTTAACAGCATGTCTCTATGACTAGTATGTAAGAATTAGAGTAAATATGTATTATAGTAAATAAGAAATTATAGAAGTAAATAAGTATAAATAGAATTGAAAAAGCGAAATAAAGACAATTATTGATTTGGATTCGTAGCCAAAAAGTTATTTTTATTGCAAAAATATTACAGTGTATCGGCATAGGCCCTGAGATATTAATTGTTTCGTAAAGCAGTGACTGATGAAAAAATTAAAAAATTGAAATTTTCAATTAAAATTTGATCAAAGTACGTCAACTGGCCACTTAAAACCAATTTTTTTCATTTCTTTCGGATAACAAAGATAGTTACGTACTTTGGTGGAGGTCCAGGTAATATTTGTTTCCCTATACTTTACTTTGCAAGAATCCTCTTACTTTACGAAAAATCGCGAATTTAATATTAACGTAATCTTTTCTTTGATTGGTCATATCTCCTGAACGGGCAGAGATAACTTAATCATTTTGGTTTCAGTAAAGCGAAAAACTCCATATTTTTAGCACGAATTTTTAAATTTGTCCTTTTTATTGTCATGCTGAATTAAAATACATCTTGGTTTTTTTTTTCTAAATAATAAAATCTCGACGTGCTACAAAAATCCAAATATGTATTTTAATTTAACATGACATTAAAAAATTACAAATTTAATAATTTGTGCTAAAAAGATGAAGTTTTCCGCTTTATTTAAACCAAAATGATTAAGTTATCTCTGCCCGTTCAGGAGATATGACCAATCAAAGAAATGATTATGTTAATATTAAGTTCGCGATTTTTCGCAAAGTAAGAGGATCATTGCAAAATAAATTGTAGGGAAACAAATATTACCTGGACTTCTACCAAAGTACATAACTTTCTTGGTTATCCGAAAGAAGAGGTTTTTAAGTAGCTCACTTGACGTACATATTTTTCTCACATTTTAATTGAAAATTTTAATTTTTTCATCAATCACTGCTTTACTAAACAATAAATATTTTAGGCCCTTTATCGAGACACCCTTTAAAAATTTGTAAGTTAAATCTTTGATATACATACACTATATCACATATATTTTTTGCAGATTTTTAAAAACCTGCAAACATGATTTTTTAGCAACTTTATTAATTGTTCATTAACAAACGTATGGAAAATTGCACTTAAACAAATAAAAATTTTATGAATCTCTGACTCTGTCAATAAAAATGTACTAATTGATTTGTTTGATATAAGCAATATTTATCGAGTTATGATCGGATAAAGAATGGCTTACGGCGAGACACCTAATATTTTGGTTGTTGTATAACTTTTGAAAAACAAATTTTTGTTTGGTTTTTATGCGTTTACAAATACTGTAGGTCCTCCTCTGCAGCATATCCGAAAATCGAGCAAAAGTAGTGGAAATAAAATAGTGTGGAATACTTATCAATCTCTTTGATTGTCTCATTCCCTTGGACTTTCGCCAGCGGTAAGCAAGCTGAGATTCTTCCCAGCTCTTAAGTAGTTCTGCAGTGTATCCTTTATATGTACCGCAGAAGGGCTCACGACCATGCAAGCGAATTCGGCCCCCACGCTTTGCGAGACAGTCAGCCCTTTCGTTGCCTTTAAACCCATCATGTCCCGGATTCCTCTACCACGTTCTACTATTGTGGTCATCCAGGTGGTTCAGAAGAGTTTTACAGCTTTCCCAAAGCTTTGATGCCGTTTCAAAATAGTTTAAGACCTTTAACGCTGCCTTACTTTCCGACATAATATGTATTCTGGCCCCATTTGTCCTTCTACGGAGACATTCGCGAACACTGACTTCAATTTAGAAGACTTCCGTCTGGAACATGGTTAGGTATGTGCCCATTCGCAGACTTTTCTGGAATATTGGTCCAATTACGCCTGCCCAGTACTCCCGTCGTCCTTTTTCGATGCGTCGAATATCATACTTGGGTCCCTTCGTCAATCATAGTTATTATCGCTTGACAGCAGTCCCTTTCAGGAATTCTGACCTTTTGGGGTTTATAGGAGGATAACTCGGGATCATCCAGGAATGGCTTGGGAACCTCCAAATGACGCCGAAAATCCCCACTTTTCATGCTGATCGTATTGGTCAGCCGGAGAGCGCTCCAGCAGGCCTCTTTCTTAATAAGAGTAGACAAAGGAATCCTGTATTGCGCATAACTTCTGTGATATTGTTGATAACATACGAGAGGTGAGAGTTCCAATTGAGCATTTAGTCCAGAGTTGCTCTTAGATACTTCGCCTCTTCTGAGAACTCAATTCCTATCCCTGAAAGGTTGGTCTATAGGGCTGCCAGACGTCCCGGTTTTCCCGGACATGTCCCGGTTTTAGACTATTTGTCCCGGTGTCCCGGTCCAACCTTAAAATGTCCCGGGTTTCGTTTTAGTGTCCCGGTTTTTGATTTGATTGCACAAATTTGAATAAAAGTCCAAAAATCACTACACTAAGAGAAAAAACGCGTTGTAATATTCAGAAAAATGTTATGAATTCAATGAGAGAAATAACGCATAGTAAACATGAATATTTTCTATTTGATTATCGTTTAAAAATGTTCATAATTAAAAATAATACTTTCATAACATGCACGCGTGGTGTTGATTCAAACTCAACATTTAAATGCACATTTACATGTCTGGCTGTAGCTGAGTGCGCGAAGATGCTTGCCACAATTTGCTAATTTCCAGAGGGTCAGGGTTCAATTCCCATTACAACCAGCATGAAATTGAAATATTTTTTAACTTAATTATGAAAAAGCAATCGGTAATTGCAAATCGCTTCATTTTAATATGGGCGTATTTGAAATGAATATTTCTATACTTAAAACTAAAATTTGTATACTTAAATGTATTACGAGTTGGGTTGGTGCTCTTTCATATGCGTAGTTTTTAATTTAGCAGGCTTTTTTAATTCCAAACTTCTTTCTCTCAGTGCACCGGTTTAATTTGTGAAATAGTTACATTTCGAGATAGTTGAACTTTGCACAAGCAATAGTTGATGATTAGTATATGTACCTAAATACGTTCAAAATGACGTCACAGAGTTTTACAATTATATTAAGGAAAATACAGAAGTAAGAAGAAGAAATATGACTGTTATTTTGATGTTATCTTGTACTTAAACTTTTTTCTTTCAT